TTTGGAACTAATGTCTTTAATTTAATTACAAAATTAAATTCTGAGCTTTTAGCTTCCATTTTTGAAACATGGTTAGAACTGTGTAGCGGAAAAAAACATATTTTAAATCAATTAATTTATAATATTAACGCTCTGTAAATTTACATTGAGCACTATTTTGAAAAAAATAAAAATATCTATAAGAACACCGGAGTATATATCTTACTGTTCTTTTATTTATATATATATATATATATATATATATATATATATATATATATATATATATATATATATATATATATATATAGTATAGAAGACGGATAAGAGCGTTCTGTATCTCTACATTTGAATAAAAGTGTCATTATATTGAATAAAAAAAAAACGCCCAATGAATAATGGTCTTCTTATTTTGAATAACAGTCTCATGTTATTGAATAAAATAGTCTGTCTAATGAATAAAGTTGTTCTTATTTTGAATAACGGTCTCTTATAATTGAATAAAAGTATCTCTATACTAAATAAAAGAATCCATCTAATGACTAATGGTTGTCCTTAATTTCCTAATTGTTCACTAGGGCACGCTCTCTCTACACTATAAATACTGGGCGAATTCTTGCCTCGTTATCTTTTTACTTTGCATTTCAGCGGGTACATTTAAAAGATGTGACCTCTCGCAGAGATTTGTGTTTTTCCCACTTGTGGTAAATCACCATGAAACACATACACACATACAAGTACGTACGAACATTCATCAAAATACGAACTCTTTGCGTTCACGCACAAACAGAAATGTTTTTGTCTTTGCCCATTGTAAATTTTGTTGTTTAATACATATACTTGTTTGTATATATATATATATATATATTTATTTTTTATATGAAGTTGGACAACTTGAGTCAGTTATATTATTTTAGTGGACCTTTTGTTATTTTTATATGTTACACATTTTTTAGATTTAAAATGTAAATAAACCTGTTTATCATAAACAACATGATGGTTTCAACTGAAAAGAAGGACACAAATTTACAAATGCTGAGACACCACGGATGAATAGTACCTGTCAGATATATGTCCCGACCCTGGGACTGTATAATAGCCATTTCAAAAACATCCATCCTCTCTGCCTCACTTTTTATATGAATTGGGATCAAATATGGATTAGAATCCAACAGAATTTGATGTTTTAAGGAACAAATTTTAAATGTTTATTAATTTAACATTTCATCTTTAAAAGAAGTTTTAAACAGAAAATGGTATATTTATTTATTTTTGATGAATATAAATAAATGCAAAATATATTAAATTTATATATATATTTATATTTGTTCCTTATCCTATCATTTTGTTTTTCTAATCCATATTTGTATTAAACAAGAAATTTCCCAAACAAGGAAAGAAAAAAGAAAGAATGTTTAAAAAAACAAACATTTACCTGTAAATAAAGTATCTCAATAAAAAAGAACAACAAAAAACATTAAAAATGTCTTTACATAAACAAAAGATTGTTGTTTGTCCATTTCATATTCTATGACGTCATTTCAAACAATTTGAGACGCCTTTGTCATTTTGAATGTTCTGATGGTTGACAAAGAAGAAGTTTTTAAGTAATTGCAAAATTCATTCTCCTAGCGAACGCTCCCATGACCAGACAGTGGCAGGCTAAAAGCTATTACTTCCACTGTCAACCTTGTATATTTATGCAAACACTATTAACAGAATAGAAATTGAAATGATGAATAAAACAGATTGAAAAAGATATTTATTCAGGTACTTAACCTTATTTCATGTGTTAAAATCAAATATATGACATTTTAAGATATAAAATCTATATAAACAAATGTTCCTGTAAAAAATGCCTAAATTTACTAGAAATAAATTTAAGAAAAAAAAGTTTGAGTTTTCTTAGAGAATTAATTTCACTTATTCATTTTTTCTTTGATGTTTGGTTGGACAACAATAAATCTCTTCTTCTTCTTCTTGTGGACTTTTATATCTCATGTTCTTACCATTTGTCCACTGCAGTTCCTAATTTAATGTGACAAAATAGAATCTAAAACGGTTTTTTTGTTCAATTAAATCATTTTATAATTCTGATCTTCATTCGTAATTAAAATGCATCAATATTTCTCCTTCAAGAAAAAACAGAATTAAACTGGCCAAATCAGTGATTTTTATCAGTTTGGTTTATAATTTCCCCATTTTTAGCCATGCAACTATGTCACCATATAAAATAAATGAATTTAACCATAATCAGTTGATTAATGAAAATTTACTTTCCATGTTGTTAACTAAAATCAAAATACCTTATATGTTTATGCATATTGATCTGTTCTCAGTTTAGCGCTTTGTAATGATCCATTTGCAACGGCCACCATCCATGTCTATTCATTTATTTTTCTTTATTTACCGTTTTTATTAAGTTTCTTTAACCACAGGAAAAACAAAATACACACACACACACACATATATATTTATAATCAATGTTTTTTCACGTTTTGATAACAATTTTTATACAAAAAATTGAGTTAACTATGTGTTTTCCTCTTAGCAAGCATTTTCTTCTTACGTAATTTACCACAAAATTCTTATTTTAGCTCCATCATAAAAAATCATCTATTAATATATCCACAAAAACATAATTTTACTCAGTCAAATTATCAAACTTAATAAAACTGAACTAACAACGCCAATTTTACCTTTAAAAACAAGTCTAAAAACGACTTTAAATTTTGGAAGATATCATAACTAAAAAAAACTAATAATAAATAAAATAGCATTGGAGGTTTGCAGAAAATATACGAACAACAATGACCTTAAAAATTTCTATTCTCACTACTGTAACAGGAAAAATTTAACAAATCGTAATTATCTATAATTCTATTTAAGAGTGCTAACATATCTCCAAATAAAATATTTACAGGAAGATGAAATATATCTAGAAAATACTCAGCAAAAAACCATCTAATAATATCATTACTTCATCCAAGTACTAAAAGAAAGGAAAGCAAAAAAATAAATTAAAAAAAGATAATAACGGAAACGTTAATGATTTTAACAATGACACACAAACAGATAAAAACAGATACATAACACTACCTACTAATTTATATATATATATATTTCCTAAACAATTTATCCAATCTTAACAATTTCAAAATATTTACAACATCCAAAATATTATGGATATTTTAAAGAAGTTAAAATAAACATAACAATAATAATTCTGAATATGTATGTATTTAAAATAAACTGTTACATTTGTTTTTCACAATGAATTTTAAAGTCTTGGAAAATTGGAATAAAAAAACGTATCTATGAATACAAAAAGGATCTTGCTTTACATAACAATTTTATCAAATGTTTGAAGAATACTTAGAAATTTTTCAACCAAAACTTCAATCAAAAAAGAATATTACACTTATTAAAAAATTTAATGCACTTAGATGGAATTTTTATATCAGTGCCACCTTCATTCTTCTTACAAAAATATAAATAGCACCCTGAATTTTTCAATATCAAAATTCCTGAAAGTTTTTTTTCCCAAACCAACCAGTTGACTCCTCTTCATTAAAATTGAACAAAACCGTTCAATTTAACCTTCTATTATTTCAAATATAATTCAAATTTGTCTCTCTCTCTCTCTCTCTACATTCATCTCCAAATACTTTTGTGTTTGGTGATTTTTTTTTCATCATGTCAAGTGGATTAAGCATCCTATTGTTACAGATATTCCTAGGATATTCAAACTTGGAGTTTTCTATTTATCATTTGTTTCTGTCAAATAGGGATTTTTGGTTCACGTTGTTTTTCTTATCTTTAACTTTCATCATATTTTTCTTGGCATTATTTATTCCTTACCTCCTCTCCTATTTCTTGTAACCCTCATTACATTTCTGTCCTCTTTGGTAATTCTGATCAAACTGAAGATCTATTGAATATTTCAAAGGTTGTCTATAAAATAATAAACTGACATGTATTGGAACAGACTTATCATATATTGACCAGGATAGATTTCATGACAAAAATATTAATGTATTGATATTTTTAATCTTCCATCTGGGAAAAAAAGACCTGTCTGTCTCTTAACATATTGGCTTTTACTTCAACTCCCGAACATGAAAAAATTGATAAAGACTAGAGTTGACATATAGGATAGATATAAACCTAATGGGATAGATTTTTCTGGGTGTATCAGTGTTTTGGTTGATTCTACAAATAGACAAATCTATATAACTCGGTGACTTGGAGAGAGATTGTCCTCAAAGATAGCTAATCTTTAGATAGGATGAAAATAAACCCCTTTAAAAAGTTTGGTTCAGGGAAAGTAGATTCTCGGTATAAATAGAAGCCTGACTGTTGTTGCAGGAAAAATTGGATGTTACCTCATTCCTTGATCAATCAAGATAAATAGATAGATAAACAGACAAACCTATAGATAAAGCATCTGAAATTTTTGACTAGATATTTGGATAGAGTCTTTAAGGAGTCCGAAAGAAAACTCAGTCCCAAGATAAAAGCTTCCTTGAAAAAGCAGCTTCTTAATTCCAAAATATGAAGATGTGATCATATTGGCAAAAAAATAAATTCAATAAATCAATCCTGAACTCGATCTTGTTCAGATAGATAAATTAAACAATGAATTTTGGACTTCTTGGGATAGATCTTTTTGGCATAGATAGATAGATAGATCTAATTAGATATAATTAGTTAAGATAGAATGTGGACAGATGGGATAGATCCAGATCAATAGATAGATAGTTTTAATGATTATTGCTGAAAGAATAATGGAAGACTGAGATAGCTTGATGGTGGATGTTGTTGATAGATGGATAGATCAAAAGATAGATTGGGTTTAGATAGATTTTGGACAGGTTGAAAGGTAATTGACATTTTGGGATGAATTTTTGAACTGATTTAACTTTCGGTAGATAGAAAAATAGATAGATAATGGAAAGTTGTTTTGAATATATATATATATATATATATATATTTATATATATATGCATATATATATATATTTATAGATAGAAGATAGATAATGGTCTGACTGCGGTAGATAGATAGATTTGTGAAATGGGATAGACAATTTTCGGCGACATGGAATCTATTTTACAGAATTTATTGTCTACCATTTTCCTTGAAAAAAATTTTGATAGCACATCTGATCTTGCTTCCTAGATAGATAGATAGATTCTTTGGAAAAATATAAAAAAGAATCTCTAATGTTACCAAAGTCGAAAAGATTCTCAAATTTAAATTTTCCCAAATAGAAATGTGACTTCTGTTGTGCCTTTTCTCTAAATTATTTTATTATAATTGTTCTGATGAACTTAGGTTTATGGTACCAAGACTTTAGATGGAATTTAAACGTAGGGGACATGGATATAAAGCAAAGAAAAATATTTCAAAGGAGTGGTCTCATCAAAAAGTAGTATTTTAATCTTTTCTGAGGTAAACTAAAGGGCAGGTTTTTGAAAAGAATGCAATTCTTGATTGAATGCATTCCTTGATCTATCAAAATTGATAGGAAGATGGAGATTGATGATAGATATTTGGGCAAAGTATATTAACATATGCATCACAGATGATGGAAATAATATCGAAAACAAAGAAAATAATATTCCAATTCAAAAAAATTTTGAAAATGAAGATTTCTTGAAAATAGGAACCTGGTTGTTTTTGCAGGGAATACTTTGGGGACATCCTGTAGATCAAGACCCAGTGTGACATTTTCAGTTGAAATGGCTAAATAAATCTTCAGGTCATGTATATTGTGTTTTGGCTTGACTATTTATATATGCTGGTGAATGGTGCATTATGGGTAGAAGGTCGAATGTATTATTCTAACGGTGGGCAATAACAGTTATGTTTCAAATTATTCTAGAGGCTATTGCAGTAGCGTACAGAAAAGGGGGAAAGGGTACAATGGCCCCGGGCATCCATATCAGGAGGGCATCCAAAAAAAGTGAAATAAAAATTCAGTTTATATTTAATTTGAATAAAGTGTTTATTTCATGTTTCTTCAATTTTTACATATTTAGAATGTCATCCTTTCTCGCATTTCTCAGTACTAGGTCCTATAGGCCCACTTACTTGAGTCTTAGGGGCATATAATCAAGGAGTTGGCCCCAGGCATCACCAAACCTCTGCATGATACTGGCTCCTATGTATTTTTTTTAATCATTTCAACCCATGTAAATCCACTAAGACACAAGGGGATGCTGAATACAAAAGAATAAGATAAAAAAAGGGAAACATTATTAATGCAAGCAAACAATAGAAGATTAATCAAGAAGGCAGTAGATAACAATTGATATTATGTTTAAATTATTTTAAGATCAAAGTTAGCTGGAAAGCATGGAGCCAGAAGAGAATTCATGGTGAGAGAAGTGTGAGAAAATGAACTGTTAGCATAAAACTTATGGTTATATCAAGACATCTCAACTGAGACTTTGTTGATTTTTATTTTAGGTTTCATCTGTTTTTATATTTAAAATGTTTTTTTTTTAATATTTAAAATGTCTTCCTTTCTCCCATTTCTCACTACTAGGCCCTATAGGCCCCCTTACTTGAGTCTTAGGGGGGCATATAATCAAGGAATTAGCCACGGGCATCAACTAAACATAACCAAACCTCTGTACATCACTTGGTAGGAATAATTGGGAATATGAATGTGGTTATTTGTATCTATTTTATACTGCTTTCAGTTGTTTATTCATTATTTATTATTGGTTACTTTATTATTTTATGTTTATTATCGTTATTACATTTAATTGTGTTTATGTGTGCATTCGGAGATTGTTAATTTGTTTATTATTTACTTTATTTATTTACTTATTTAGATTTTTTGTTTATTTTATATTATTTTACTTATTTACTTAAGTTTTCATGGGTTGGTTACTTTTATTTGTTTAGTTTAAAGTATTGGCTTTATCTAAAGTATGTTGCATTATCTGCGTTGTGTGTAGTGCATATATTTGAAAATTTGGATTTAAGATTGAAACAGAGTGTCACCGCTTCAATGCTAACAGTTTTTTTTCTCGCTCTTCTTGCTTGTGGAACTTCCTTTTGGCTGCATGCTTTTCAACCAAATTTAATCTGCAAAAATGTATTTGCAATGTCAATCGCTATCTACTGTACTCCTGATTACTCTTTCCTCTTCCCGCTCATTATTGATGTTTCTTCCACACCCTGTAACCCCTAGTGGCTTTACTGCCTTGCAGGGAGTGATACTGATTAATATCTATCTATCTATCTATCTATCTATCTATCTATCTATCTATCTATCTACACACACACACACACACACACACACACACATATATATATATATATATATATATATATATATATATATATATATATATATATATACACATAAAGATTAGTGGAGATAGAGCGAAGTATAATGAAAACGGTGAGTAAATTAAAAACTTTATGGAAAAGAAGATCTTACGCCAAAATAGAAATCTAACTGCAGTTGTAAGGAATCCATTCGATCGTGATAAAGTGACAGATAGATAGATAGATAGATAGATAGATAGATAGATAGATAGATAGATAGATAGATAGATAGATATGAACAGATTGTGATAGATAAATATGAACAGAATGGGATAGATAGATACGTAGCTAGATAGATATGAAAAGATCGTGATAGCTAGTTAGCTACCTAGATATATAGCTAGATAGATATATAGCTAGCTAGCTAGGTAGATAAATAGAAAGATAGATATGAACAGATTGTGATAGATACATAGATAGATATGAACAGATTGTGATAGATATGAACAAATTGAGATAGATAGATATGAACAGATTGTGATAGATAGATAGATATGAACAGACTGAGATAGATATGAACAGATTGAGATAGATAGATAGATAGATATGAACAAACTGAGATAGATAGATAGATAGATAGATAGATAGATAGATAGATATGAACAAACTGAGATAGATAGATAGATAGATAGATAGATAGATAGATAGATAGATGGAGAAAGAAAGAAGGACGCTGAGAATGATATATAATAGTAAGATAACAAAGATAAAAGCTTCCTTAAAAAGATGCATTTTTTCTCCTAAACAGAAGCCTAACTGCTGTTGCTAGGAATAAATTCGGCACTATCTCATTCTTTGATCGATAAGGGCAGGTAAGTTGATAGATAGATAAATATTTGGAAATGGGGATATGGGGTAAGGATGGGAGAGAGAGAAAGTGAGAGAGGGAGGTGGTTGAAAATCAAAGTATATCAAAGAGAAGCCTCCTCGAAAAGTAGCATTATAATCCTAGATAGAAACCTGAGTGCAGTTGGAAGTAAATGCGTTTGCTACTACCTCATTCGTCGATCGATTGACCGAGGTAGATAGATATGAACAAATATGAACAGATGAGATAGATAAATAGATAGATACGTACAGATTAAGATAGATATTAAAAGATTGAGGTAAACAGATATGTACATATTAAGATAGACATGTAGAGATTGAGATTCAATGATAGATACATATGAACAAGTTCAGATAGATATGAACACACTGAGATAAATAGATAGATATGAACAGATTGAGGTAAATAGATCGTAGATAGATCCGTACAGATTGAGAGATATAAATAGATAGATACGAACAAATTAAGGTAAATAGATATATACAGATTACAATAGATAGTTACAGATTGTGACAGAATGATAGATATGACCTGATTGAGATAGATAAATATATATGAATATATTGAGATAGATATGAACAGATTCAGGTAGGCAGATAAAAAGTTAGTTAAATATAAAAAGATTGAGATAGATAGATAGACAGACATTCATTATATTCAGATAGATATGCATTATTTTCAGACAGACAGATAGATAGATAAATAGATAGACATTCATTATATTTGGATAGATATGCATTATTTTAAGACAGATAGATAGATAGACATTCATTATATTCAGATAGATATGCATTATTTTCAGACAAACAGACAAACAGATAGATAGATAGATAGATAGACAGACAGACAAACATTCATTATATTCAGATAGATATGCATTATTTTCAGACAGACAGACAGATAGATAAATAGATAGACATTCATTATATTCAGATAGATATGCATTATTTTAAGACAAATAGATAGACAGACAGACAAATAGACATTCATTATATTCAGATAGATATGCATTATTTTCAGACAAACAGACAAACAGATAGATAGATAGATAGATAGATAGATAGATAGATAGATAGATAACGAAGAAGGGAGATTGGGTAGAATGGAAAAAAAAAACAGGAAGAAATGCTTTAACAAATAAAGAAAAACTATTGTCAGATGAAAACCGAAAAAGTGTAAAATTTCAAAGCGAATCGAAATATTCATGACTTTGTTTTTTCATCAATCTTTTGAAAATTGCAACACGAATTCCTTATTAAAAGCATTGCCCCGGTTACTTTAATATTTGTTCACCAGCCGAAACGAGGGATAAAGTTTTTGGTTTAAATTCAAGGGGAATGATCTAATATGGCGGCGAAACGATGGCAGCCATCTTCAAAATTATACAAGAGTGCAGTGAAAAGTTCTCGACCCTACATAAGTCGGGTTTATACACGAGTCTATTGTTAGATATAGGCTTGATTTATACTTGATTTTATATATAGGTATAGGTTGGCTTTATACTTGAGATTATATCTAAGTATATCTGATTTTTATCTTTGTTGATAGTTAAAGTGTTATATAGGAAGAAAGTGTCGTTGCCGACACTTGAGTTTGAACAGAGATCGCCAGTGAGCAAACACAGGCGATCCTATTATTGAATTAAGTAAACCACGTGACCACGTGATGTCTCATTGATCGCATTTCTATTCTATCCTCTATAGCTATTCGGATCGCTATTTCTACTCTATCCTCTAGTAATATACGGACCGCTATTCTCTATTCACTATACTATTTCTCTATATGGATTACTATTTGAGCAAGTATTATCGAGCAAGTACTATTAGTGCGAGTGGTATCCGAAGGCATTTGACACCAGTATTGTTCGACGGCGTTACTATAGTTGTATCTGCGATTACAAAGTCTCTACTACAACGAGCATTACGAAAGGGACAACGAGCATTACGAAAGGGCTTATACTGAGTATATAGATTGAAATTTATTTGATATCTACTTGAATCCATAGGTCGATATATCGGGTTTATACTCGATGTAAGTCGACAGGTAGATATAGGTTGGTTTCTTCCTCGAAGTATCTACGCGACAGTCAAATTTAAACCGTGCATTTGAAAGATGCAAATCTAATATCTATCTTAATGTGTTCAAAAGTTTGATTAAATTGGTTTTCACACACACAAAATATAATTTTCCATATCATCTAAGTTAGTATCATTAAAATTTTATGTAGGCAGATTATGTCAAATCCCCAGACAATAAAGTGCACATACGTTTTAATGAGGCATCAGCAACATAATAAAAAAATGTATGTATATTCGTGAGCGTGTAAGCTTGCGTTATATTTCTGAAGTAATAAATTGCTTTTTCTGAAAACGCGTGATTTGATATTCAAGTAACTTAATTGTTATCGACGTGGAAAGTGGCATCGTGGAACAGACTTCAAATTCTACCATGCTAGTTAGCCTTAGGTTGCATGTGGTTTAATTGTCGAATGACTCCGAATTCAAATCCATGGAGAAGGCAACAGAAAACCTCTGCACTATCTTTGCCAAGAAGTTGTGGCAAGTCCCAGGCAATAAAGAAAAGGAATTTGTGGAGAGCCATGATCGTCTATGTCCTGAAGGGACACAGCATTAAAAATGTTTATATTAGAAGGACAACTTTGAATTCAAAACCATAGAGAAGGCAACAGAAAACCATTCCACTATCTTTGCCAAGATGTCATGGCAACTCACAGATAATAAAGAAAAGGAAGCTGTAGAGAGCCATGATCGCCTATCTCCTGAAAGGAAGAAATGTTTATATTAGGAGAGGGACAACTTTGAATTCAAAACCATAGAGAAAGGAACAGAAAACCATTCGACCATCTTTGCCAAGAAGTAATGGCAATTCACAGGTAATAAAAGGAATTTGTGTAGAGCTATGATCGCCTATGTCCTGAAGGAACACAGCATTAAAAATGTTTATAATAGAAGAACAACACTGAATTCAAATCCATGGAGAAGGCAACAGGAAACCACCCCGCTTCCTTTCCTAAGAACCAATCGTAATTAGAAATTATGCGTCTATATTTTTGACATGAGGTATTATGTACACTATTTACATTATTCGGACTATTGTCCTCATCTTTTGTTGCCATATTTATCCACTGTGCCATGTGTCATCACACATAAAATAGGGAGTTATTTTTTTAATAATCTGGCGTTGGTTAGATCCAGTGACAGAACCCAAAGAATGTGAGTTCAATACCCGGTTAAGGCAGTGAAGAAATTGGAGAGGGGAATTAACAGGAGATAACTGATAAATGTCATCCATTAAACATGGCACGTGGAACTAGAACAGTCTACCCCAATGAGCGAAATAAAGGGTTCAGTTCGACATTCTAACCAACTGAAGAAGTCCGGAGCGTACAACGGCCGAAAGGTTGTAATAAATATGGCGACAAAGATGAAGACAATAGTCCGAATAGTGTAGAAAAATATGATCACGTGACTGATTTTGTTTATCTTAGTTACGAGCTCTCTTACAAGAAACACCAAGAGGTTATACAGGGTGATTGAAAAGTAACTCCCTATTTTATGTATGATGGACTCTCCCGTCTGACTGTAATTTATACAATACAGTAGAGTCCATCATACATAAAATAGGGAGTTACCTTTTAATAAACCTTGGTATAAAATGTCGAATAAGTTTTGACATGTTGCTTTTCGAAATCATGCTGAAATCTTTAAATTAATTTCAGTAACAAGGCCTCTGGTCAGGAGGTGGTTGGAGGTTTTGAAGAGCCTGGAACCACCGCTTAATTCCAGTTGTTCCCAGGTCCACCCTAACCCGTTAGGGTCCCCACTTTGAGCAAATAGTGAAACCCGAAATAAAAACAAAACAATATGAAAGTATAAAACTATATTTCATATTGTAAAAATATCAACAATATATTTTTATATAAAAAAAAATTACCAACGCTATATATTTATAGTAAAATTACCAACAATACATTTTATAGCAAAATGACCAATATATTTTATCTGTACTTGAAGGCATATAATTGCGTTCAAAATATATTTAATTGGGGCTACAAAACTGTGTTCAAAATATTTAAATTTCGGCATTAAATAACCCATAGAGGTAGATATGCCGCTAACTAAACAACCAACTTTAAAGAACTCTTTTATGACATTAATCTATATAATATCCTGCAATTTCTTAAAGAAATCAATCTGTATTCCAAAATAACTTTAAAAAGACAACATGAAACACACATATCACCGCCTCTCGTCATTATGTCGAGACAAACATGTATATGCACAAAAGCTGAGTATCATCTACCATGTATTCAACTGTGAAAGCAGAATAACATATGCTCAAAGCTCACAAGAAAATTAAAATTCGGCATTAAATGACACATAAAGGTGTTTATATGCCGTTAAACAACCAAATCAATCAATCATGAAATCAACAAGAGAAACAATTTACATTGAAACGGATGGATACCTCAGATAGATTCTTCCAAATGTTTTATGGTTGCCATTAGTCATGGGCAAAAGGAGGCTCGATTGGTTTTCTGAATGGCCCGCCGCCTAGTTTCATAAAGAAAATAACGTTTATTAAAATATTGCTTGTTTCCTTGCGTTCCCGCTTGTTCACTCACACGCTCTCTCATACATCACAACAAACATAAACAATGATTAAATACAAGGTTTCTTGAATGTAACATTTTCATCATTTTAAACCATTGGCGATTTCTACTATGGAAGATTTTACGTGTAAACACCTTTTGCTTCAGAAACAGGAAATGTCAAAAATAATTATTTTTCTCTAGAGAATAACTATGCTTCTTCTTTTGCAAATAATTTTGTATTTTCAAATGAATAAATTATAAACAAATCACGGGCAGCTGCACGCGTTAATCGCTCTGTCACCAGTGATAATATTATAAGAAGAGTTCAGTTTTATTTTAATTAAAAAAGAAATCTTTTCCCCAAGAAAAGAAATCGTTTTTTTTTTCCCTTGGACTTTTCGTCTTTTCCATATTTCTGAGACATTTTATTATGCGTATAATTTTTTTTAAGGAAATGGCTGCGACAGCTTTAATAAAAATTACCTTGATTAGTTTCTTAGTAGTGAGAAATAATTCATGCAATTTCGTAATCTTCCGCAGGCGTAAAGAGTTACTAGAATTGATAATAAGGAAACAGAAATTGTGGAGAGCCATAATCGGAGATGTAGGGATATATCTTATTTTTATCTATACTATTTACATTATTCGGACTATTGTCCTCATCTTTGTCGCCATATTTATTACAACGTTTCGGCCGTTGTATGCTCCGGCCTTCTTCAGGTGGTTGGAATGTCGAACTGAACTTTTTATTTCGCTCACTGGGGTAGACTGTTCTAGTTCCACGTGCCATGTTTAGTTATCTCCTGTTAATTCCCCTCTCCAAGTTCTCTACTGCCTTAACCGAGTATTGAACTCACATTCTTTGGGTCTTGTCTCTGGATCTAACCATCGCCTTTATCCACTGTCCTTGATGACACATGGCATATATATATATATATATATATATATATATATATATATATATATATATATATATATATATATATATATATATATGTGTGTGTGTGTGTGTGTGTGTGTGTGTGTATGGAAAATAACTTGAAAATGCAACTGGTGTCTTTAATAATATTTTTGGAGTAACTTATCGATTTTTCTACAGTTAAATTGAAATGAGGAGACGTGCGCCATGATAAGTCTCGCATCTAATTGGAGTTGGAGAATTCTTGCCGTTGTATGCAGAAAAATGTTTAAAATACAATTTGATTGGTTGATTATGATCACATGATCAGGCACAGTAATTTTTGTGTCCAAAATTGATGATATTAAAATTTTGTTGCCAAAATTTGGAAGTCTCATGATTCAGTGATCCCGGCTAATGACAACAAAGTGTTAAGTAGTTCATGACAACAACGTGGCTGGAATTCACAGTGACTCTATGATCCCGACTGCGATCAGCCTTGGTGGGCATTCAGCTCAGCACATACTATATAGATATGCTTCACTCCCTTTCCCCTCCGTCGTAACGTAGTTTCCCTGTTTCTATAAATACTTCCATGGTAACTGTTCTAATGAAATTTCCGCTATAGTACATAAACTTTATGAATTTACGCGCAGTACTAGTTTGGCGATAAGGCCTCCTCATTTTACAGTT